TATCTGAGAAACGCCTAGAAGCATTTAAAAATATTTGCCGGATCCTAGAGAATTTTTATTGTACCCATTATACTATAACCGACACGGACTATGACGGCTATGTTGACGCGTTGCGATAAATGTTAGAAACGATGAGCGTCGATGCGAGCGCATATACTAAGAAGATGTATGATCACCATTAGGCATTTCGCCGGATACGAGGGGCCACAGCTTGCGAGGATCACGGTTATGGTGAAATAGTGGTTAAGAATAGATGCGATCGAGGGGCGAAGAGGGCGCCGCGAGGCGGTGGCGTCCCTAACTAAAGGAAGTAGCGACCGAAAGTGGAAGCGAAATAGAGGAAAGAAGGGAGTTCGACGTGTCCGAATGCGGTCAAAAAGGAGAATGCATTAAATATTAAAAGTCCGTTCCGTGGGAATGGACCTGACCGTGGTACTCCAATTTCTGTGGATTAATTCACGATTCGCGCGGCTTCGAATATCACCATGCGAACTGTACGAGGCAGTCGAAACTGCGATATGCATTAGAACGAGATATACCCTGGCGTAGTCAGGAACAGAGCTATTAAATCTCGTTTCGATCACAGACGATAACCAAATACGTCTCTTCCCTGAATTGGCCGATACATTCGGAGATATTCCGCGGTGCCGTTAACGAAATACGTCCGGAATTTAACGGGTACGCGCGGATGCCCCACTTTTCTCCTACCCCTCTAACGTTCTCCAATTTTACCGCTGAATACGTCGAAAACTATTGATTCCTGGACATTACATAACAGGGGTTCGATTCCTTTCAGGGTTGGAAAAATTTCTTCCGACTATGTTTCGGTTATCTTCCTTTGAAAACACATGAAAATTGATTTTATATCGGATCGTCGAGTCCCTGACTACGCCACAAGTCGAGGAAAAAGAAGCGAATGATGGTTCCAATCGAACATATCAAGGCCCACGGGCCAGCCAATACGTTTACTCTTAATTTAATGTAGGTTCAGTTTTTTCTAAGCTTAATAACGATAGCCAGGGGAGCACGAGTGCACGGTCGAGGTAGGTTCGAGCTAACTTTAATTTAACCGAAGCTCGTCCGATCCTTTACGTGCCAGTACGTGACATTTGGCGCGGAGTTAGCGCGAACGCACCTCGTAGTACCGGTACCAAGTGGCAGGGGTCAGAAATCGATTTTTCACGGTATAACGTGGTCTTTCGCATTTGACTACCTAGTGTGTAAGTCCTCACTGTATAACAAGGTAAATGTACTGCCGACCGAATCTCAGGTAGCGCTTCTACTGTACCGACGTTGTTCCTTTCGCTCATTTCGTTCCGCGCCATCTCTCGGAAACTGCTAGAAGCAGACCATGCATCGATGTCTACGTCGTAAACGCAGATGTTTTTTTTTTAACACGAAAAATATTTTTTCTAAGCGGGATAATTCACCGTTAATTATTCGATAGGTGAACAATAAGAAATTAAGACCGACGGGACTGTGTTCGTTGCAGTTGTTGCGCTACTTCGTAAAAATTATGCGAATCGAAGAATTAAATCGAATAGCGACGGATTGCGTTCTCTTCGGCTTTATCGTTAAGTGGTTTCGATTTTAGCAACTTTAATATTCAACCCGTGGCAAGAGTCGTTACCGACGATGCGTTCCTAAAGAAATCCGTCGATTCGTTATCACCGTTGATAACTGTCTGGAATATTTTTCTAAATTTCCCTGAAATGCTCGGTCGGTAGATACACTGCAAAAGCTCAAAGTTTCCACGAACACGGTGCGCGCACATACACGTAACACGACACACATTCATATTCATTAAATATATATACATATATATTTTATTACTTGAAACGCACTCTGACCCCGGCCACGCGTGTAAATTAAGCCATAAGACTATGTAATATAAATTTAACTTATGCCCCGCTAAGAATGCTTGATTCTTCCTGAACTACTCACGTAAAACCTAAAATGTAGTTACCACGCGTCGGCTATGGTAGCTCTCATGTTTACCGACAAGCGCCTCATCGAATCAGCTGTTACCACTTTCTGGGATTCCTTTTGAGGTCGGTATCCAAATGCATGATGCACTCTGGTCGAAAATGCAAATTAAGTCTAATTCGCAAGCGTTGTCATGGAGTCGTCGATTTTCTTGGAAAATTAATTTTTGTCTAATTTCGTCCTCTACGATGGATGGTATAGAACGGATTAGAAAATTCCAGGGATCTTGGATACCGACCATGGAGGAATTACCTTGTTCCGATAGATCTCATGGGACACGTAACTAATCACTCGAACTATCGATACAGTCTTGGAACAAACGGACCAATGATTGCAAAAGTGCAACGTTCGATCACGATTATTAATTAGGGCTTTAAAAATTTTTATTTCACCTTCAATTGCTAATAAAACATTAGACACGTTTTTACAAGTTACAAGCGAAATAATTGGTCCGTTTTTTCTGCGGTCTGTGACATCACATTTTGAATCTTCTAAAATCTCCAATCGACGTCGAAACCATATTCGAGTACCCCAACCGTATTTAATGAGAAAAGCGAAAGTCTCTATACATTCGTCTTTGTCAATCACGTCGCGATGACTTTATAGCGCATACCGAGTATCCATGTTAAAGTCCGACTCGGTGTAATTTTTCTTTTACCGTACAAATTATTTTTTTATTAAAAAACAGAAATCGAGCCGAGTGACTTTCGCGATCTTCTAAATCGATTGAGGAATACCGATCAATCAGAAATCTTCTCCGTCTAACGAACACTCTTGATGTCTGCCAAGTGAAGAAGACAATGTAACAAGCTATACACACATGACACATACTGGTCGTCTGCGAACGTCCTAATGTTGTAATTTCACTGGATGTACCGATTCCAGTAAATCATAGTTCGAAAAAAGATCGTGGTAGTGTCCCGATAACGTGAAATTCATTTTTCTCGCGTACAGCACCGACGACAGCTTTTTAATGCGGCCAACTTTGAATAGCAGTTGGATAGCGTAAATCAAACGTTATCTCATAGAGAAGAAATGTTACTAAAATAGCTGCTCATGTGAATAAAATCTGAATCAACAGTTTTTAAATAACGAGGCCTTTTGAATTCTCCATCAGCTCGTTTTCCCGATCCGTGAATAATTGCGTTGCAAATACCGAGGAAAATTGATTCGTGAAAAAAAGACGTGGAAGGAACGATTCGTCTCTCCTGATAAGGACCTACCTTCGATAAAAGTGGTCTGCGAGTAAGGAGTAATTGTTTCACGCAAGATCGATTAAAATGCCAGTCTTAAGGAACCTCTCGTCGGTGCATGTACATTTTACGCTATTACAGTTTTCCTTAGACGAGACGAATGAAGAACATAATGGTACATAAGAGTAACGACATGCAACGGCAGTAATGGAGCCAGAATGGCCACCTTAGAAGCGGACATTAAAAGTCCACCGCGTAAAGTACCACTACGAAAATTGTACATGTACGATACTATATTTAAGAGAGATCGTTATAAGTTATTATACGGGCGAATAAATGGCAGAGGCGTTGGTAAATTAATCGTTGGTAAGTTCCTTGTTGTTGTGACATATCAGTAACCTCTTACCTCCTTGAAGTAATGGACGTCGAAGCACCTCGATCTCGACGTTCGAAGAATTTCTGGGATTTTCGAGGGGTCGGGCTTTTCGTAAACACAGGACCTCCTCCGGAGAGAAATCGAGAGAACCGCCTCGGGTGCGCCTCGAATCAGTACCGACTCGAAACAAAAGTTCTTTCGCTGGGACACAAAGACATCCCCCTTCGCTCCCCCCGACTTCCCACACTCGAAACAACTTAATAATTTCTACGTCTCCGCGGTACAGGGCAATGCATCAGCAACTAAGGTTCATTTTTCTGCAACATTTCGAATGACGTCGAACGAAGGGGTCCGGATGAATTGTTTTGACAATGTATCTTGAAATTTGTTTACGGACGTGGGCGTCACCGGGCGCAATGATCTGGGTTTCCTGCACATATACGTATTGCGAGCTTAACCCCACTTGGCCTTTGGCTGCCCGAGCGTCGGATTTAAGAGGGTGTCTTACTCCTAAGCTCATATCATAACGACATAACCAATGGTCGTTTCTACATTCGCAGGTGACACGTGACACGTGTCAAAGTTTTCGCAGCTTGCAGACCCGGTGGAAAAGGCACCTCGCACAATGTGCACGTATAACAAGGGAATATCGCGTGGCCTTAATTTGCCTGAGACAACTACCGTGTCGCGAAACGACGGTCCGCGTGCTAAATCCGATTTCGCCACGTCGTGAAAATACATTTTTAATAATGCACCATGAATTTACGTAATGGTCGTCCTTTCCCGGGAAATGCCGATTTAACTTTCTCGTTAATGCCCCACGCGCACCTCCCCTCTTCCACTGAGATGACACAATTTGCCGCAACAATTTCTTTTTCATTAATGTCATTCACACCGTATAAATCACGCGGTGCCTTTTTCCCAATTCTTCCACGAGAACTCCGAATTTCTATTATTTTCGAGGTTGAAGCCTACAAGTGCAACGTTTCTATAAAATATTCCAGTGAAAATCTACCGGCGGAAATCCATGCGACACGTCCGAATGACACTTTTATAAAATTCATTGATTCGTCTCAAAGTAAAAATGTCGAATTCTCATATAATTCCTCGGGCGGGGCGCGGACGAATCCTGGACGCTAGTTAATTCCTGTTAGCATTTGTAAAAGTACTTAGATCGGTCGCCACGAGTCATCGGTACGTGCTCCCATGTACACGTCGACCTAAGTACGGGCGCAGACACATAAGAATGGACACATAGGTGAAGTTACACAGGCGTCACGATGAAAGAGTAGGGCTTAATCAGGTAGTCGATAGGCAAATTGGCTTACAGGCGCCTCTAAGAGTGGCTCGCCGAGGCGGTTCCACGAGCGTTCCGTCGACTCCAGACCGTTCCGAAACGCGTTCCCGGTTCCCTTTCTTTCTCTTCGCTCGCTCGGGTCGCGGATCCATCGGCAAGAGGCGAGAAATCGGCGCGACCCAATTGGCCCCGGATGAGCGGGACGCCCACGCCATTGGGGACTTCTTGCTCGCTCCTCGTCGCCCCAGCGCCGTCCATGATATCTCTCTCGCTTCGATTCTCTATCAGCCTCGGGCGCCGATCATCCAGAACGACGAGGCTTTTCGGGTAAGACGTTTCCCTTGGACCTTCCCATGGACCAATGCGAACCCCGCTTTCCCCTGTGCCGCTCGATAGGAAATGGGACAGACTCCCTGCTCCGAATGCGTCTCGACGTAACGAGAACCTTGCGCCTTTTCCCTTATCATGGGAAAAAATTCAGTTTTATTCCACTTGATTTTTGTTACACTTATTTTACGTAGAAATTGTTCACCTCGAAACGCAATAATTTGACAGGTCTCGATTTTTGTCTCGCACTGGCGACGCTTTACTTTGTAAAAAACGAGGAGAAAAAATAAGAGATGACCACTGGAGTGGGATATATTTTCTCGGCTCTGTCCGGCGGCCGAGTTATCCGCGATCCGCCTCATTTCCCATTCTTCCTCTTTCTATTTCCTTCTTCCCCGTTTTCAATTCTATTTCCCACCTGCCGCCTCGAGCGCTGGTCATCGAAAAAGACGAGGCTCTTCGAATAAGAAACTTCTCGGAGATCGAAGCCTATCGGCCAATCGGAACCCCTTTTTTTATCCTAACTTTATACCGGAAATACGCCGCCTTCCCTCGAGAAAGAGCAATGGAATACATAAGGAGTCCCCCATCGTATAGATATATCGTGCTTTTCATTTTGTTCCCCGAGTATATTGCATATAAATCGAGGAGATGGGCGGGATCATCAAAGTCAATGAGGCTTCCAGGATAAAATACCCTCCGCAACGGCGCCGGTCGACCTATATGAGTCACATTTTTAATAATGTCGTATTTAAACGAGTTTCACCGAGGTCGATACGCGTTTCTCTTCTTTTTTTTTTTTCAAGCACACTAAAATAAAAATTCCATCACGGCCTCTCTCTTTCAGGGATGCAGAGACACTCTCTGGTGATCTTGTGCTGCTACCTATATATGCTTTTCGACATGGTGGCACTTCATTTCCCGTAAGTATTTGCCCGACATTGCCTTCGATCGATCGATCGGGGGTCGTATCTCGAAATTGTGGCGATCAAACCAGGTGCGAACTGTGAACCTCGTTGAAACGTGCTCCAGATCTTCCGAGGGTTCCGATATCGGGGATCAATCGGGGCCGATCGAGATCGAATGCTTTCCTCGAGCCTCGATCGCCGATCAAAAATGGGTGACACCTCCACGTATATCGATACATGTATTATAAAGTGCAAGGGACACAGTGTGCGGCAGACTTAAGGGTATGCAAAGCTCGAAGACCTATTATGGCTTCGGCGATATTGCTGTTTCATCGAAATCGCTAATATTTGAGACTCCGCGGAATAATGGAGCGGAACCTCCTGCTTCCCGGTAATGAGAACATACCGGGCTTACGAAAGACTAGAAAATATCGAGAAAGCTCTGAAAAATGGAACGATAACTTTTCGCGGTCCGAGGGTAAAGGGAAACTATTCCTGCCAAGCGCAAGGCGTCCCTTTGTAGAGTGCACAATTGTAAACGCACAATTTCGAGATAATTTAAATTCTGACCGTTCCGACCGTATTTCACTATTTAATTAATTTCGCTAAAATTACGAAAATTCTTAAATAGCCCGGCGGAAGAATAATAACTTTTCCTGGATTGTCGTCGAATCATCTGTTGCAGAGACGTCGACTTGGAGGAATACGGTCGAAAGGAAGCGTCCCTGTCCTTAAGGGATATCCTTCCTATAAACCCGAAACAGTACGACAAGCATAGGGCTCCAAAATTCCTAGGACAACCTACAATTGTTTATTTCCACGTGACGGTGCTCAGTCTCGACTCGATTAACGAAGAGTCCATGGTAACTGCATTTCTTATTAATTATTGTGGAATTATTTCAATGCGAGTAATCGTGAAATCGACGCTTCACGAATTTAATTGAAAATCTATTCATCTTTTTCAGACTTACGTCGCTGACATTTTTTTAGCGCAAAGCTGGCGTGACTCCAGACTCAGATTACCGGAAAATATGTCCGAGGAATACCGAATATTGGACGTCGATTGGCTTCACAATATTTGGAGGCCTGATTGCTTCTTTAAAAATGCGAAGAAGGTTACCTTCCACGAGATGTCGATACCCAATCACTACCTTTGGCTGTACCATGACAAAACGTTACTCTACATGTCAAAGTAATGTCTTTAAACTTTTTCTTTAACTTTGAAATCGAAAATAGGAATTACAAAGCAACGCAAAGAAAATGTAACTAAATTTTTATCTGCTTCTCAGATTGACTTTGGTCCTCTCCTGCGCCATGAAGTTCGAGTCGTATCCACACGACACTCAAATTTGCTCAATGATGATAGAAAGTCGTAAGTAATGTTTATTTGCATTATTTGCAACGTCGGCATTATTGGATCGGTTTAACGGAGTTTGCCGCTCATTTATTTCAATACGGTTTATCCGCACCTGAGTTATTTTTAATGATTCGTTCACTTTGTGAATTCCTGGCATTCAGTGAAGTATGAATGGCCATCTTCCAATTTTCAGTGAATAATCACGGAATCCCTTTGACGTTCGTAGCAGCCAGTCTGGACGTAAAATTCGAATCGAAGCGACTTTGCACTCGAGTAAACATGTTTTATTCCATGTCGATTTTGACTACGGGTCCTTTCCATGCCCCATCTTCCGGTATTTAATATTCTATGTTTTACCGTAACATACTTTTTCCAGTATCACACACAACTCAGGATTTGGTCTTCATATGGAATATGACGGACCCTTTAGTGGTGAATCCGGAAATAGAGCTCCCGCAATTGGATATTTCGAACAATTATACAACCGACTGCACGATCGAATACTCTACCGGAAATTTCACCTGCATTCAAATAGTCTTCAATTTAAGACGCAGATTGGGATATCACCTCTTTCATACATATATACCGTCGGCTCTGATCGTCGTCATGTCATGGATTGCTTTCTGGATAAAACCGGAAGCTATACCCGCTCGCGTTACTCTGGGCGTAACGTCTCTACTCACTCTTGGTAATCAGATTTTATCATACCTTTGTATTATATAAATAATTTTGCAAGCGGCCCAATAACGAATTAATCCTGAGCACCGACTTCCCACTCTTTGCAGCAACTCAAAATACGCAATCGCAACAATCGCTACCACCGGTGTCATATGTCAAAGCGATAGACGTGTGGATGTCGTCCTGTAGCGTCTTCGTCTTCTTGTCGCTCATGGAATTCGCGGTAGTTAACAATTACATGGGGCCTATAGCAACAAAAGCCATGAAAGGTTACTCGGACGAGGACCTCAAGGAAGCCATCGACGAATTCAAGGTAACGAGTTCGGGAGAAAAATTGCAATTTTCCTAGTATTTCAAAATTAGTAGATAAAACACTCTAGTGGATTATGGCAAAGAGTATCTGTACCAGAGAAACGGTCCAGGTGACGATTGCGATCCTCGTCGAAGCATTGCGGAACAAAAGGAGCGAAGGTCGAGGAGAAGGCCTCTCAATTATTCCACGAGACTCGGCCGGTAAAGTCGATGATTTCGCTTCGCGGATTACATCTCCAAAGGATGCGACACCCTTACGGGGCGAACAAAGCTTTGCAAAATCGCTCGAGTTGAATAATTTGATTCGCGGCTCGTTCCGTTCACATTCACAACCGATCCTTTCAACTGTGTCCATGTGCCCCCCATAGAAGAGTACCGTTGTTACCAACCCCATTCTTTAGAGGTGTCACATATATCGGGTTACCCTCTATGACTCCTGCTTCCGCAATTTTTCCCTTCAAATTTCTAATAAATGCTCACACTTACCAAGATTTCGAAGATCTGCAAGGGTAGCGTAATTTCTAATTTTTTTATTCCAGACTCCAATGCGACCGGATTCGGAGAGGAGCAGAAGTCCAGTGCGACCACCAACGGTGCAATACGACACCTGTTGTCAAGGGAGGGCAACGGCGATTTACATCGACAAGGTCTCGCGATTCTTCTTCCCCTTTTCGTTCTTCATCCTGAACGTCGTCTACTGGAGCACCTTCCTGTAACCTTTCCTTAATTCCGGTGTCTTCTTCCCGGAAGGTGGCCGCCTCTCGGCGACGTCCGCGCTCTACGTCGTTTCTGTAATTTCCGCCAAAAGACGGCATTTCCGTCCTCGATCGACCGCAGAGTGAGAGAGAGAGAGAGACAAAACGACCCCCGAAGACAAGAGAGGAAAGCAGAAACGACTCAATCTTGGCCAAGTGGGTCCTCGAGGAGGTTACGGTCTCCTTACGAGGGCGCAAACCTCGAACGAGACTCGAAGTCCCGAGCGGCGAGAGGACGCCATCTTGAAATCCCAAAGACGGTCTCCAGGGACGCTCCGAATGGTGTCCGATAATGCCAAGTGCTTTTTATATACCTACGTAGATAAATCTGCTCGAGCAGATACCTTTGCGTACTCTGTATAAGCTTAGAATTAATAAGTGCACTCACTACTCGAATACTATTAATCTTCTAAATAAACGAATCGGCCATTACAGGCAAGACCTTCCACCCATTCGTTTCAACCATTCCCGATTGAATCTTCTGAGGGCTGAAAAACCAGTACCTACTAACCTAATCTAATCCCATTCACCATATTTAATTATTTTTTTTTATTAACCTGAAAACTTACTTTAAATTATGCGGAATTATTTCGTCGCTGCTGAACACCCTGCAAAGGAGGGAATTATACTCTTCTCTGCTAATCATTTATTTATTGAAATGAATTTTGCAATAAATGACAAATTGTTCAGAGGGAGGGTGGGAATAGGACGTTGAAAGGCAAGTAAACGCTGAAAAGAGAAGCATGAATAAAGACAGTATTTTATTTTCATATACTCTTTCATCTCATCGGTTCATATATATATATATTTATATTTATATATAATAATAAATATATTCTTGTTAATAATTAAAGTGGTTCCATTTGCGTGTACCTCTAGCGTACGAGCCCCAGCAATTAATCGATCCAGGATCGACATTGGTTCTACCGCTTATTAAATATGCTCCTTCCCGCCCCCTCCCCCCAATCGCATGATCTCGGGATCTCTATTAATAACAATTGAAAAACACCGTAACCACGATAAATTCTCTATTGTGCTCGCCGAATCGATCCCCGAGCATTTCCAGTCTGCCTCGTTTGACTTGACTCGGTGTAATCGACGGGACACGTTACAAGTAAAGTCTCGACCTTTAATTAACCCTAACCTATCTACGTACTGTCGATCTAAATTGCTTTGATAGGTCGAAGCGCGGGCCGCACGAAGCGATTCGTCGCTTCATAAAGGACGCCCTAACCTTTTATCCATAAATCTCGGCAACTCGTCGAGATCGGGAAAAAATTGCTCAACGACAGGACACAGTCGAGTGTCGTGTTTAAAAAAAAAAATGATATTTCGCCCCCGACTCGTTAAAGAGCGTTCGCATAAACAGTCAGGCCGTCGAAAAGTAAAGGCTGACAAAATGGCGGAGTCCGGACTTCCGGCCTTGGTGCTTCGCGCGTCCCGCGTACTTCCGGTTGGATTCCACGCGGCTTTGCCACGCCGCTACGTCGAACGATCTCTCGATCCCCCTTTAGAGGGGGGCGGAACGCTTAATAATTATTATTAAAGTTCGTTTATTCTATAAGGCGCGTGCCCGCCTCGCTTTTACGTTTTTTCCTTTTTTCTCCTTATTTTCGCGCGGTAACCTTAAGGATTAATGAAATGATCTAAAGTGTCCGCACTAGCATTCCACGAGGTTTACAACTCTTAACTATAACAGCTTAGGTAAATAAAGTATCTCTCCCGGCTTGTCTTCGCCTACTTAGTCGTTCGCTCGCGAATCGCCGTGGAAAAGTCGAAAAACGCGGCTCCGACTCGTCGCCGTCATTCGTCGAAACCGGTGGGATTAATCTGGAAACTCTCTCTAGATTCGGAACGACCGAGCTCGGGTACGGAGTTCTGAAATTTGCTGGTTCCACCTAACGAGCGATTCGCTCTTCGGGGAATATGGTCGCCATTTTGGAACCGCATCTCGAGGGCCGTAGTTACGGAAGCGCGCCGAAGGGCTCCAATATGGCGGCCATGCTCGAGTCCTTTCTCGAGAATCACGTCCGAGTTTGTGCGATTATTACGACCGATCTACGCGCAACATTCAGGATAAATTACCCACTGGTATCGCGAATCCACGAGAGTCGCTCCATTAAGTCGTTCCGAAACTTAAATGACGCGACCTAAGACATTGCACTTAGTTTGAGCATCGAAAGTTCCGATTTCGAGATGTACCCTCGCATACGCCTGGAATTACGCGCTCAAGACTCGGATTGGCACAATTCGACCCAGAATTTAGTAGTCGGATCTTTTTATGAGAACTCGCCGAGATCGAGTCGCGGCAGTTGTCAAGTGTCAATTTGTGTCAAATGAGGCTTTCAATTCTCGTAGAGACAATGGCGCGATAGAAGTACCGAAGACGTTTAGACTCTTTTTCCATTCCCCGCTGAAATTTATTACTTTTTCAGGAGTTTCAGGGGATTATCGCCAGATATCGAGGTCAGCCCTCTGTCGACGGTCAAAGTATTTTAATGGAAAATTTAGACCTTACCGGGGTTCCAATATAAATACTCTTGATATAATTACAAGGTAGTAACATCGATATAAATTGCGGAGACCTAACTCGATCTAAGGTTTTCATCAAAGTCCTTTGACCGCAAAATTGGGGCTGTACATTGATTAAGAATATCTGGACCTGAGAGGTCGAAAATGACCGGCAATTACAACGATCGCCAAAAACGTCCTATATAAATGATTTGGAGGATATCTTTGTAACGTTCGGAGACGGTACATTTTTATTTTCTTTTAGAGTATATTTCATAAAGAAAGAATTGTCCCGATTTATAGCAAATTACTCGCATTACTCATCTGGAATGTTGCTAAGTGTTACTCATACCGTTAAACGTTTAATTAATTTATTACAAAGCGGTGAAGTATCCCGTTCAATAAAAAATCTCTGTTTAGCTCTGTGGAATGTGTTGGGGTTATATATTATTTTTTACAGTTGCGGTTAAATTACTGAAATGTTAGAAAAACTTTGCGCAGCATAATTCTGTAGAATTTATCCTTTGCGGCAATTGAACCTTATGTCTTTTTATGACTTTCTCTTTTGTGTATATCTTGAGCCAGTTGTAGGTTAATTATGTTAATTACATTTCTCCTTGATTCGCGAGTTGGTTATTTAACCACCGACGAGACCATCTAGGAACTGGTAAAACGCAAATTAAATTTTCCTCGACATAATGCAAGGGAATAAAAACATTTACGGGCAAGTAATTTGGTCATACTTTAAAACACTGGAAAATTCTGCACGTCCACCTGCATTAATTAATGGAACACGATCTAAAATCTTTGCTCGCTAAAATCTTCTTGCCTCTCGGTGAGAAATGAATTTGACCGCACCATATATGTACCGTCTGTTTAGCGCATGCATTATGTGCAACATGTACAGTCAACGGCATGCATGTCGTATGATAACGCACAACACTCGACGCGACGATGCATCGAGGCGTAAGCTTTTGTTCCGGGAGAGAAGAGCGAGTTCTGTACAGAGTATACATGCATACATGTATATGACACGTGCGTACAACTGTATGCACGTATGTGCACAAACTGTCGAGGCGAATGGCACAAAGGCAGCAACCCTCGTCGAATTTCACGAGGCAACCCATTTTTGACGAAGCGAATCTAATTATTTTCAGAGCGCACCGCAACGAGAATATTTCAATCCGTTAAAACATCTCGAACGTCCCATTGTTTACATTTCGAGAGTCGCCGCCGCCGACGGTTGGCGCTCCCCGCGCCCTCTGGAATTTTGAGAACCGAGGGCCTGACTCGACAGGTTAGTCTCCAGTCGTCTTGCAGGACGCGTGGTCGCGGGAAATAATTTTTACTCATGCAATTGTCAGCCTTCGCGAGTGCGGGGATAAGTTCGACTTCGTCGCCGGCTCTCGTCGCACCCCTCGCCCAGAGGATTCGGCAAGACCCATAGGAACAAAGGACACCAAGTTATAAAGCGAGTCAGCCGTCGCTTTTTTCTCCTCCGACCCGATCTTCCTCGAGGCGCGGCGACCTCCGGAGGACACCTGGCGCCCATCTCGAGCACTTGGCCGTGCCGGGAATTTTATTTCCTTCCTTTGGAATTCTGGTCGGAAGATTTTTGCATTTCGTCGCAATGATAAATAATTTTACTTCATTGCGTCAGTCGATTTTACTTGTCCTCCATTATTTTCGTATCGACTCCTGTACAGTGGTGGACATGAATGCTTTCCCAGTAGATATGGCATCACCGATGCATGATAGGAAGGTATTTATGTACATCAGGGTACATAAAATTCTGGACACGTCACAATTCTCACATAAAAATCGGAAAATATGTCGGGTCGGAGGAGCGATATTATGGTCGTGATAAATAGTAATTTTTTCGAAATGTTATGTAAGTGTGATTAAGAGGGGAGCGATGTCCCCACTCGTTAGGTCCGCGTATTATCTTCTGCTTTTGGGACGAGATCTATGACAAAGTCGATACACCAAATGCAAACGACCCCTTGAAATTTCGATTCGACGACGCGAGATGAGAAGTTCGGATCGCTCGAGCATCGACAGGTCACACGTTCTCATTAGTGCTTCCTTTATCATGCTAATGAATCGAATTCCACCCGATTTTTTCATTCCTTTGTGTTTCAGAACTTTGTAATCGAAGAGAAGGTGTATACAGAAGGGTAGATATAGTCAATGTTAATGATAGAAGTACCGAGGTGGAGTAAAAGTTAAAAGCGGACCGTTTCCGAATGATCGCGGTCTTGAGAAGTACTCATGCAATTAGTCTGAAATCTTGAAAACAAAACATCATCTTTAATAATTTTAATGAAATGTAAATACAAAATATCTGTGTGAACATACGTTAAAGAAATGGAAATACGTTTAACCTTTACTCTCGACCAATATTAGTAAAATAATAGTGGAAGCCAGGGAAGCTTAATTAAAATAAATATTTAACATGGCTCTCATCCCTTGTTTCAAGCTGTAATTGCGGGCAAGAACAATTCATTGTGAGCACTGCATATTAAACTTTAGGCGATGTTTAATCGTTATTACAACAGTCGCGATGTTTATGGCAAGTTCTTAAATAGCATATTTAATCAGTCACTTTTGACAGAACATGGCAACAAACTAACGATTACCTTAGTAGTATGTCCCTTAGAGTAATTATTTTATCTGTTTATAAATACATGACCGAGAAACAGCTCGCAGAGTGAAATGAATAATTCTATGATGGACTACTCAATTTTTCACAATGCGGTTTTTCAAAAATCGGTTTCAAATAATGACATCGGAACCCCATACATTTACACCGACAGCTCTGCGCTAAATTTACTTTATAACGAAGGTACTATATTCAAAATAAATAAGAAAGTCAAGGGGAAAGAAATTTTAACGAGACTCTTCTCTCTTATCATATTCTGACTTATGTATCTCTCATTTTCATAATTATATTTGTATTTACATAGTGTTGCTTTCTGTTTATGGATTCAGTTATACATATAGTATTAATTACAGGTCGTTCACTAATTCTCGACTTTCTAACTTCTGCTCTGAGCTTCCATTATTAATTTAATTATCTTGGCATAATTACTCATTACCTTAAACTTCTTGTACACCTCTAATTATTACTCGTTATCTCTATTTATAACTACTTTGTCACACTTATGTACAAGTTCTTTACTATAATTAATAATAATAATTTATTGAAGTTCTCGAGAGGGTACCGAGGTTAAAGGTTTACAACGAGACGCGAAGAAAGTTGATTCACGTTAAAATAAGTAACGATATATATCCACGTGGAGAAAAAATAATGGGGCATTTCATGTACACGGTGAGGAATTATAATACAAAATTCTGAATAGAATATCCATAGAATTTAACGATCGAGGGCGTCACGGTAAACCACCTGTAATCGTTAAATTCGTAACAGCTGATCGCGGTAACGACAAATTCTAGTATTTATTTACAGTCTTTCCCTGCGTTTTATGCATCGGATTAACGGATTTACGTCACTTTACGAACAGAGCGAATATCTTTACGCATCTGAATTTTTGTTAACTACATGACACGTCACGGTTACTTGAATAGAATGCTGCTTTTATTGCGATGTACACAGTTGCCGCAGATTTTACAAGTTCTTTTCTTTCCCTTCCTTGCTCCGGTTTGAAAACGCACACAAGCGGTCGAAAGACTCGAATAGTCCGGACTTATCCTTTTCAAAATTCCCGCGAAAACGGCCATTGGCACTTCTACGAGCAGGTGCAATGGACGGGTGGTATTCCTCGTCGGAAAAAGAGACGCGCGCGCTTTCGGTCCCGATGAAAAACAGGGAGAATAAATTCCACCGCGACGAGCTCGTCGGATTTTCCTTTTTTCTCCTCTTAGGGACACGTTTCGAAGTCTCTTTACACGGTGCGCGAACCCATTGAAATCGTGACCTCTTTAGTCTATTTAGTCCCGTCTTTGCGCACTTTTCAAAAGCGCGTCAATCAGGCTCATCAATCCGCCACGTGCACCGATCGAAATGTTCCACGGGGCTCTGTGTGAGATAGAGCTTACGGATTAAAATGTTGAAACAGGGACGATTTTTAAGATCGGTTTTGACAGAGCCGCCATATTGAAATTAGCCCTGACAACCCGTTTCTAAATAACAGCGAAAATGTCCAATACTAAGGCTCGTGTGAGTCATGCAGACTTTTTTTTTTTTTCAATGTTGAGTCGTATCCTTGGCATTCAATGTGGCGATTTCAACAACTCTGTCCAATGCCCCTCTTTACATCCTATAGAATGATGTGTAACCACTTTAAGGTGTACCGTTTGAAATTGCACCGTTTTTGGTACACTGTAAAAAAGTCGATATTAAATTGCGTTAATTAGCGACGATCGTGCTACGACCGAGCTTGATAACGATTAAAAAGTTATTTCAACGGTTTAAGAAATTCTTAATTCAACCCTTATCAGTCGTTTGCTTTAATTCAGGAGTAGTTGAGTTTCCGAAGGTAGTGTCGATTGAATAATTCCTCTGTTTCGATTTTTTTTCTTCTTCTTATCGTGCCTTAGTTATTCTTCCGTATCAGCTAAAACACTTATATTGCACATGCGAGAAAGAATGGCAGTATGGCGGTAGTAGAATTGAAAGACTTTGTCTTACAGTTGCGCACATTTTCTCATTTCGTGTGAGGCTCGAGGACACGAATATTTTCTTTGCAATTTTCAAAATTCTCTAGCTATCCTCGACGAGGCTTTCTACTCGTCGACTACTGTAACGACATCGATTTCACAGACTGGATTACGGATTGATTAAATAGCATCAATTTATTTCGATTTAACACCGAATCGACTCCCTTTTTTTTTTTATCGATTTTTCATTCTATTCACTTTTTCTATTTTTGTTTTCGCTTTTAGCTGGCGCGTTCGTAAACCTTAAGTAAGTAACTCGGGCTTAGGTTCTTTCTTTTCCTTTTATACAAATATGAGAAAGAAGTATTTGTCACGATTTTCCAGTCACGCTGTAAAAGGTAGCAGATTAGAATTCATCCCGTGAAACTCGAACATTTTTTTTTTTTAGAGTAATTAACCTTCTGTTAAATAAATCAATAAAAGTAATTTCCAGTTAAATGATGAATGTAAATTGATGACGCGTTTGTAAATAATTAGAAAGATGGTCCATCGAAATTCAGTTGAAATGGGGTCAAAAGAGAGAAGCAAATTGGAAATGTATTTAATATTTGTTAATGTCAATATTAGAGATGTCAGAGGAAACATTAAAATTTAAGGTGCACACTTCACTTTATTTTAGAAGACATACACTTTCAAAGCACTTGGAAACATGGTTAGAATTTCTTGAATTTCCGCGTACATTCAAAAGGAACACGACGTAGAATAAGAAGTGTGTGAACGGTTTTTGCAAGAGGTGAACTGAACTAAAAATAAAGTAACAAACATCCGTTAAAAATATATCCCCTACGAGGTAAACCATTCACCGAGGAAACGTTCGACCTTTCAAAACTACCAGTCATACGGCGTACAAGTTTAGACTCTTAAAGCTTAACTGAAAATGTTCATAAAAATGAGGGAAAGCGTAATCTCTTAAACTAATAGAATGGGTGATTAAACGCACATTTATTAATAGACATCCGAGTTGCCGGAATCGACTTCTGAAGATCCAGGGCAACGAAGGAACGTTCATAGACAACAACGAAATGCCCGTTTTATTATCCGAGAGATTTTATTGAGAATTTAACCCGGTTTGAAAAAAGTAATTCCCCGATGCCCATGAGCGGTCAGATTTGGGTAGAAATTAACGTCACGTGACGGTGATCGCTCGAGCCTCGTCGATCGCCAAGAATCGAAGGAATTCCGGTAGGAAGGCGACAGATTCCTAGGACACCATCTCGGAGCTAGCCGTTGAAATTCCGAAATTCCTGAATTCCGGGTGTCCGGAATCCTATTCGGAGCCTAAATCTCCCGCGAAACGCAACAGGTTGGACACGGGGCACAAAATCAACGTCGCGACGTCCGCGTCCTGCCTTTGCAATCCGTGTTCTGATAAATTACTACGTCGGAGCTACGTTCCGATATTTACCGTCGGGACTGCACGGAGGGAAAAAATAGTACAAGTTCTTTTTTTTTCCCCCAATCTTTGGGACCGTCCGCAATAAACATTTCCACTGGTAAAGACGTTCTACCCGGTTCCTCGCACCCCAGGAATTATCCACACTTTTAATGTTCAATGTTGAAAATTCCGAAGCTTCCACTTAGCCGATCGGTCGATTGATCTTCACGGTAGTCTTAACTATCTATCGGTAGTTTTTCTCATTCACCGACTCGCACCTCCACTTTCTCGATTTTGTCCCACCACTGATCAAACAGGAGAGAGAAAGGTGGAGGCAATCGGACTCGACGTGTACCAGGACCCCAGTAGAGCGAGTCAGCCGAAAGACCGCCGAGGTCGGCGGTCCATTTCGTACGCAAAGTCTGGGAAAGCAACGTCTAATTATTTCAGCCAACTCTTGAGCGGTTGGCACACAATCCGAGCATACATTTGAAGGGTCGCTACTGCCGCGAAAGTCTCTCCGGTAAATCCAGGGTTTGCTTAATATTAAGACGTTGCGTCCCGGGCTTGAGGTTCCCTGCCCGAACGTTTCGCCGAGCCGTTTCAATCTCTCCGGATCCTTTTTCCATCTCGCGCACACGACACACGCATCTACGCATTCTCTCTTTGTCTATTTACAAGGTTCGCACGCTCGATCTAACGCATGGACAGATCTCGGGGATCAGAATGGTGCGCGATCGAACGCGCTCGATTGATCTCGCGATCGCTCGACGGGGCGCTCGAGCCGATCGCGAAGTATTGAAAGAACGAGGGCATCTTACTTAAATTAAATATTGATGTATGTATATATTTATATATATATTTAATATATTTATAAACTTACTTAAGCGCCCCCCGCAACGAGTGACGCGGACGACGCTATCGCCGAGGAGGGTGAAATCGATAGGAAATTCAATGTCCGTGTAATCTCACCTATGGCATTGCGTTCTCGTCTATGCAAACGTAAGGAACGTACCGAGCAAATCGATTGCAACGTGACAAATGGAGTCGATGAATTTCGTGAAAATGCATTTACAGCGCAGCTCGTTACGTTCTCTAAGCGCACTTCCACCACATTCATTACGCGGAAAATGAAGCTTTCCTTGGAATAAGAAGCTCGGGATTGATCGGCACTTTCGATCGCAATAATTCCGGGGGTCTCGTTTTTTTTTTTGCTTAAAAGATCGAAAAGGTCCGCAGAGAAAATAATCCAAGTCGACCCGAGCTATGGCAGGAGAACGCGTAGCGTGCGTATGGGTCGTCTATGTAGCTCGTAACGTCACTGCGCGTTAATTAAATTTATTTCTTGATAATTCACGTAGTTCCGGTCGTTCCCCGCCAAGGAGGTGTACGACCGTTTAAAGTGTTACGCATTCGCGGCAGTCGATTGTGAACCGTTTAACTCCGTTTTCCCTCCTGATAAGAAGCATTACTTCGTGTCGCGTAATCCTCAGGGAGGTTCACGATACTTGGGACCATGCAGCGGGTTTTACGTCAGTGTTTTCGACGACTGGACGGCTTTTCTTCGATCTCCCTCAAATTCACCCTTAATGTGGACAAAACTCGAGACGGTGATGGTCGTCACGTTGCTCGCCAAGAGGGAACTTAAGTCGCTGCGTACTAAAAGGCAGGCTAACGATAGTAACTTCGAGCTAACTGCATCCTTCCCAAAATCCTCCTTAAGGAAACGACTCCTCGAACCGAGGCGTATCTCGAAGAGCTCTCGAGGATGTCCTCCGCACCTGCGTCTTCGGGTGTTCTCCTGTCTTCCGGCCTAGGGTCCCTAGTCTCCTCTTCCGGTCGCCCTGGACCCAGGGAAATCTCCCAGGAGACGAGTTAGCACCCTCGGGCGATTCCTTTCTTGGCACTGGGTGCCTTCTCACTCGTTTTTACTGCAACGAACGGAATTCCTTGCATTTCTCTCGACGTCGCTCCTGTCGAGGAAGTAGATTTCCTTATTAAACGCGTCCCTCGAACCGGCAAGGATTCGATTTCCGAGGACGCTTCCGAGAGACCTCCAACGATTGCCATCTTACAGGGGGTCGTCACTAAATTTTCAATTTTTTTTTTTTTTTTTTTTTTTTTTTTTACTAATAATCACGATAAAATCTCGACTTACTCGTTCGAAAAATGTGAAAAACTCGCGATAGAAACGTACACGCGGATGGGGGACATGGAATTTTTCATGGTAATTGGTTTACTCTGCCGTGTTGGTTGAAATCGTTAATTTCGACTCTCCTGGATTGAATTTTTCTTCCACGCTACGCGAGTGTTGTATTAATTCAGTTTGCCGGGGAATTGTACGTGAATAATGCTGACGGGAGTATTCGCGATGGAAATACATAAATAGCAAAAGTACCTAGTAAGTGGTGTACTGCACGCAATTGGGCCAGGGGTTCCGAAGCAAGTCGGGGTGATATCAACCTCGCTTCCAAGTCTGATCGATATCTCGAACCTCATTGTTGTCTGTCGGTGGTAACACGGTCACGACTTTACCTGCATTCAGCGTTTCGAGCAATATCCCTGGTAACTCAAGGTGGTCAGATAAGGGCAGTTGCCTGCCATACCCTTCCAATTGTTCGGATAAGCATCGGCAGGTGCGAGAGTCAACTCCCGAGACGAGTACCTCCTTCCTTCCGTTACCGAAAACGCGTGTTCGTACAATAGACCGCAGGATAAATTCGAAGGGAGGAAACGTCAAGGCCCAGAAATGTTGAACCACCAGCCAAGGGGTAGCGTCCTTAGAAACGCGCCTCAAAGGACCCAGATCCGAGTTCCCAAAATATGTCACATCCCGGAAACTGGTGTGCGCGAAAAGTTGGGCGGACATCCTGGACCCCGGCTTCTCTAGAAGTTCGTTCCATTGCTCTCCAGGGAGTCGGGCATTCCCGACAAGTGCGCCCTTTGAGAAGATTGCATGGGAAGGGCTCGCAGCAAAACCGAGGAATACGCATGGACGAGGCAGCTCGCTAATAAACGAGCAAAGCATTCCTCGGACGCGCAAAGACATTCCCAAGATCGAGTTTAACGAGCCGAGGCACATATTACGTTCGACCGGAGAATCCGCCTCCATTTCCAACCCCATCGTGGAGGAACGATTTTTCGTTCTTTCCCCCTCTAAGTGGGGAGAGACCTCGGAAAAGTCCGCCTCCCGCGTGGGACGCCGGAAGACCTTCCAAAGTGTTAGAAGAAGAAGAAGAATCACCCGAGAGACGGAGACATTCTCGCTTAGAGCGTGACTTCTGATTCGTGGAGGATCGGGAGAGGGAAAAACCAGATGAAAATGGACCCGAAGAACTGGCCGAGATCTCTTGATGTCTTCCGCAAAGAGAGGCCACTAATGGTAATGGACCGTCCCGAACTTCTCCAAGAAAGATGTGGAATAAAATGAGATTGGATCGGGATTTCGACCTCGATTTAACGTCGACTCGTTTTTTTTTTTCTTTTTAATGATTATTGTAATTGTTGTTTCGCGAGGTAATCACGTAGGCCTAGAGGAAATGTACTGTCGACTGCTGGAATTAGTACTTGGTTAGTTCTGCGTTAAATAGGGTAATGTATGATCCATGAGGGGCCTTTACTTGCGAAACTATTTGAATTATGGGTAATTGGTCAATTAAACGTTTGAGCAAAATCGCACGGGTGGGTAAATTAATTCGAAATCTGGTAAAATGTCCTGCATGGTCGATAACGCTAACCAATTGTACGGCAGAGTAAAATGAATGGCGCTCGTTGGCAAAGGGCTACGGCGAACCGTTGGAGGTCGTGGTTAGGCGATTTCCTCGGAAATCGATGCGACGCCATTAATTCGCTGGTGGTTAGCCTGGTTTCATGTCCGAGCTCGGCTGGATTACTCCGAGCTCGCATGACCATGAAGAGAGTTCTACCATATCGGCCGAGCACAGCTAGACAACTATTGATCCTACGGACCTACCGACGTCCACCCTTAAATCGGGCGCCTATGTACAAAAGCGGTAAACTAATGATAAACTATTAATTATATTAATTATCCTTAAGCTAGCGTATCCTACATCGTTCCAACTAACACGCCAGAGCGTGAACGTTGCGCGTTGAGCAAATGAATGTGCGTAAAAAAAAAAAAAAAATATGCAGCTCGAAATTGAACGCCCAACGTCACCGAATCGTCTTCTGTAACTTAATGGTATTAATTATCATCTATCCCCGAGGAACGTCCAGTAGTCCGAAATGAACTATCGATTGCAAATTTGCCAATGTAGATGCAAATTCCGATTCCGCATTAATTTCCACCGTTTACTCTCCATTGCATACAATGGAAAGTTGAGGTAATTTCCATGGTTTTCGAACAACGATAACCCAAGTAATCCAAGCGGACTGCCTTAACGAACGCCGACTGCAATCCGTAAAATGGACTAATTACGGCGGCTTGAAAAAAATATTCCAGGTTAGCAAAATTGGATAAGCGTTAAATCCATGCCCATACGAAAGAGGAAGTAAAGGTTTAATGGAAAAAGTAGTGTTCTTGCAAATATAAAACTGACGGATCGATTTCGTAGGAATTAAATATTTACACGTAGTCCCTTCGGTACGGGGGAAAATAATTAAAGAAACCCAAGCTTGAATAAGTGCAGAATTCTCCTTTGATATCTTTCAAACTCAGGCGAGTGCTACATTGTCAGAAAAATATTCATGCTACTACCCCTATGCAATGGCGGCGCGCTCTGTCGTTACGTTCTACTCCGTTACCGTGACGTAATAAAATCGATAATACAAATTAGTCGTAAACAAGCTCGAGTCGAAAAATCGATCTTCAGGTGAGGTTTCAGGGTGAACAGTTGCCGGCTGCCAATTACGTTATTTATCGTCGAGTTCTTTTTTAACCGAGTACGTCCTCGATATGGCGCCCCCCAATGACGCGTTCCTTACGCGTTTTCGCTACTCTTTCCTAAAGTTCGGCGATAAATAATCCATCTCGGAAGATGATACAGTTGTGGCAATATTTCACCGCGGGGAGAGAAGTCGAAAGAGGACCGTCGGTCGGTGAAACAGAACTCGTATGGGCATGGACGATGCGCCGTCGAGAAAAGCTTCGTCCTTGGTTCGAAGAGTGGCGCGAGAGGGTAGTTCCGTTCGGCAAACTAGCCATTGGCAAATAAGCAAACTCTAAACGAGGCGACGCTTTAATAGCTAGGTGTTAAGATTGAAGTAGTGGCTCACCATTGGTAAGGGCTTTCGGCCTTGGCGCCTTTTCGAACGAGTAGAAGAAGAGGAGACGGTGGGTGGTCAGTGTTGGATTGGTGGACAGATTCGGCTCAAGCGGTCTCCGGAACCGGAAGCGGTGGCTGGCCACCGGAAGTCATGGCAGGCGTGGTGGTGGTTGTGGTGGTGGTGGTGGGGACCGGAAGTGGCTGTAGGGCCTGCATATCGCAGGTGTGGGAACCGCGCTTCGTTAGGTCCTGGAACAATCGGCAGTAGTTTTTCTTTTCTTTCTCCTCTCTGTTTCTCGATTACTTCGGCTCTTCTCCCAACATGGGGTGGAGGGCGCTCGAAAGTAAAACGCGCGGCCATCGAACAAGCGGAGGGGCTGAGATACAGCTCGAGACAGAATCCAATATGGCGCGGGAGGGACCAACGCGATTCGCGGACCGGAACTTGCCCAGAAATCGATTCCCCGATGCGTAGGACTTCTCCTTTACGAACGCGAAGGGCCGGCCCTTCGATTCTCTCTCCTCTTTGGTCGTGTTTTTTTTTGTCACGGTATTTCTTACACGGTGTTTTTCATCTTCCGGTAACGCGAACTCGTACGGTCCATAGAAAGGATGATATGCAGCGGGCGGGAAGGAAACAATGGCCTCCATTTCTCGGTGAGGTCGAATACTGAAAAATGTTTCCTGTAACAATCGTTCGGCGTACTTGTAATAGCTTTTGTCCCGCTCTTTTTTTTCAGCCAAATGTCTATGTGAGGTTAGAAGATTCTTAAAAAAAAAATTAAAAATACTGGAACTCGCGTTTTATCGAAACCTCTTTGTAAGTCCTAGGCATCGGGGGTACTATCGGACAGTCGTCGTTTCTCCTGGACCGGCACATGGGAAACACAGGACTGAAATCCTGACTGAAAAAAAAAAAAACTAACATCCCTAGTTTATTTAGTATTCCTATTTTTAAGTTTAGGAACTAGCGTAAAAACGTCGTTATTAGATGGTCGTAATTATCGAATGGAATACAAATTGTGACGTATATGTGTATTGGCACGCGAGATATCTCGAGTACAATTAATAATGTTGGTAACTAAATTCTATTTCTACAAACTGCGCGTAATTTCACGATTTCCACGTGTTGGTTTCTCCAGCAACTTGGAGATAAATCACTATAAATGGAGATAAAATGACTTTCAGGAACGGTAAGAATCTACAACTAAGTTCAATATAGTGGATTAATATGGTGCAAAACTAGACAGCGTATTTGCAGAATGGCTAAAATCGATTTTTCTTTTTTTTTAATTTTTCTACGGCGAATCGAATTTCCCGTACGTTCTCCATGTGAATTATAAGTGGAAAGGTCGAGCTTAAAGAAAACTACCATCCACTATCGAAACAAACGTGATGATGGGAATCTCGTAAAAAATGTCTAGAAAGGGTATAAAGCTTAGAGTGTTTTCTCGCGAACAAAAAATGACTATTAACATTCAGTCCTGCTTCCCTTGAAAAATATGTATACCGAATAGTTATGCAGACGTCGACCTCGAGTCGCGTCAGACCTGCTCCCGGAGTTTCATCTCCTAAGCTAAGCCTAAATATACCGAAGATGAGGCATGTTAACACACAACAGAAAGACACTTCAGCAGACAAATATACGTAACACAGTAGTAAATATCGGCAAGCAGTCGAACAAAAGCGACGCAGTTATAAATATAGAGGGTTGTGCAGAAAGATGGCGGATACGAGCTTAGTATCGAGAGTTTGTGCCAATGCGAGAGCGATCTAACGAGCAAGCGGTGTGTTGGCATGAGGTTAGTGACTTTTTAAAAGATCGGGTCAAAGTACCTTCGTGCCAAGGTACGGTACTGGATGTAGAGTAACACCTGGCACTCTAGGCAAATGCACTCCGTTATTTTATCTCCTTCTATTCCTATTCCTCTTCCTCTTTACGCGACATATTCTCGAGGTGTACTCGCGGTATTTCAAATTAAAAAGTCGACCGTATACTACGGTTACATGGTTAATCGAGTTCTGGAAATTTGTTGGCACGCCGAGAGGATGAATTGGAATATATGTAGATGGGGATTTACGGTTCGGTTTTTTGCATTTGACTAGTGTACCTTAAATAGAAATATGTTCATGTTGAAATAACAGATTAAGTGCGCGACGAAGTGCAAAATATAAGGAATAATTAATCGATCTCCGATACGGGGAATTTTACAGTGCCACGTATGTTCCATATGGATTCAACGTTATCGAAACAAAGGCTTCGTAAACCCTCGTGTATGAAGGCGAAAAATATTGTTGAACCTGCTATATTTTTACCCGTAGGAGGAGTACTTTATACAGAGACCGATACTGAACTCTGTAAGAAACGGAGGATATGTTTCATACGTGGGAATAAATTCTATTCTACATACCTATTGGTAACTTCATTTTCGCAATTTTTCATAAAATATTTACACAATTTGTCACGAGCTGTCATATCGATTCTCATCTCTGTCATATTGAGAAGTAGATTTCTGGATTCCTACAGGGGGTGGAAATAATTGTACCTTTAAAATTTATCTTCTCTCGATAAACCCCTTTTACTAATTACGATATTGAGCACCATCGCAGGAGTGACGGTATACCGAAATAATTACAAGCAAACGAGCATGCAAAAGTGGTACACCGATTATTTACAATTTCGGGCATGGTCTATCCTCGTATCAATCAGAATTCCATTTTCAATGAAATTCGAGGGAAAGACGCCGATACCTTTATGGTTTGACACCTGGATGTGAGACATACATTAATTACCGCAACCAAGGGTGTATTCCTTATATTTACATTCGCATTAAACCGTTTAAGTCGGTATTATCAATGGGTATATTTATCGAGGGAATTTGCGATAGGGAGTTTAAAACACAGAAAGATTATATGCGCAAGGAAGTCCTTCGGACCGATATCAATTATGTATTTTCCACAACCATGCTCATAATGGCTGATTAAAAATGGTTGCACCGTAGCAGGAAAATCTCTCCATTCCAATATAATATGGACGATTAGAAATTCAAGAAAAATACATAACCGATTCGTGGATAGAGACAATTAATACTCAATACATTTGTTCCCAACTATATCCGGACTGCAACACGCAGTTCCCACTCGTGCACGGGCCTATGGATGGTGATAACACCTATTTTATAATTGCAGGACTTTGAAACTACGCGTGAAAATATATACAATTTCTAAAATTATAAGCAAGATTGGGACTGGTCATTTTAGAAGGTATAACATGTATAACGGTTTACGAGTGTTTCTTAAATTGATTTTGTAGAATTTCAACTTTGGGTGCAAACTCGCGAAGAGGTCTGCATAACACCATAGAGCTTGGAACATTGGAGGCGCAATGTACTGAAACTTAAAAATTCACCGTTAAAAATCGATGAAAATATTTTTTTCATCACAGCTGGCTCGACCGGTCGAATTTTGTCAAGGGTTAAAAGAAGTACTTGGTGCCCTTAATTTAATCGGATCTTTGGAAAAGTCTGTGCATCGGTACCGAGAGCGTCGCCAGTCTTCTTTTTTTTTTTTTTCCCAAGGAATTTATATTTATTGTTACCTCTGCAAGGTATTTATTTCGAGCAAGTAGGATATACGCCTCCACTGGTACAGCCCATGGTGTACGGAACTCCCCGATCGGAAGAAAACTGTAGAGAGGTGCCATGAATAACATTTACAGTGAAACAGAGAAATCGAAGGATGCAGCCGCCATAATAACGGATTCATGCTCGGGGCCTTTATCATGCGAGCGAACCCCGTCCGGTCGGAATCCTCCCCCAGGAGGTCGAAGTACCGAGAAACGCCTCGACTCGCACCTAAGTGTACAAACGATAGCCATGAAAAAGAACGGCGCAACGGCGCAAAGCCGAACAAAGCCAGGCGAGCGGTCAGCGCTTGCTCATTCGCCATAAGGTCGGCACATAGTTAAAGCGGACCACCTTCCCGGTCGGTCATGTCGTTCCCACTGTTACCGATTATCCGGGCTCCTTTACCTTTTTCCTTACTTGTATACGGTCGCCGTATACGAGCACCACTCTGTCCTTATTCTCGTGCGAGGTCAGCTGGTAGGACAAGCTCTGCGCGCCGATTCCCCGTTATAGGATCATCGAACGCGTGCCATTTCGTTCGAGGAGAAGGTATCGAGGCGATTTCGATGGCACGTTCCGTTCGCGCGGGCGGTTCGTTTAAAAATTCCAGGTGAGCGGTCGCGTTTAGCGCCGCCGCCATGTCAGGGCCCAACGGCGCCGTATTTCCGAGTTCCCGGGAGGCCAGGGATCGTTTCGAGAGTTTCGCAGGCGAGAGACGGCGATCGAGGTCCAAAATCCAAGTCCAAGTTCCGTCGTGGGTTAGGATTCGGCGGAGACGCGCGTCGAAGGGCCCATCGAGGTTAGGATGGAGTCCGGCGCAGCGACGAGTCCCAGGTGAAGACGGCGCCATCGTCGTCGAAGGGCGTCGAGTATGGCGGATGGCACGGAAATAGGGAAATAGAAGAATTGATTGACTGATTGATCGATCGATCGATCGATCGAGGCCGTGGGTCCGGGGCCGTCGCCCCTTCTCTCAGGCGCTCTACCTCCCCAGGCAGCTCGTGATCGCGTTTTCTCGCTCGTTTATTTCGACATTTTTTTTATTTTTTATTTTTTTTTCTATCGACCACTCTTTTCGAACTTTCTCCCGTTTTCATGTTCGTTTTCGTATCGCTCTCGTTCTCGTTAGGCCGCATTTTCCCAGCCTGAGGTCGTCTTCGCTTCGCCCCACGGCGTGCTTACGCGCTTAACTTATGCTCGTCAGGCGTGCTCTCGTTGGTTTTTGTTTGGTTTTTTTTTTTTATATATATATACATATTTTCGAGTTCTTTAGTCGTGTTTTTATTATCGTTAATTTGTTCGGTTAGATCGTTTCGACCGCGGGAGGCGCAGTTTATGCCGGTAGCGATCGATAGGTGGCTCAAAACGAGGCCTCGACGAGGTAGGTGCCATCCATGGCCACCCCCGTCTGACCACCCGGACCCGACACTTCGAGCCTCGTCGCCGGGATGTACTGACTGTACGCCTGCTGAAATCCACACCACAAGCACACACTACATTGTTGCACGCCCTCCTCACCTAACCTAACCGTTTGAGCTTTTCAACCGAACCTACGGTGACTTTTAGTCCGTCCCGAACGCTGCCGTCACGCCACGTTCGCTCTTTTCGTGATTCTTGTCTTTGACCGATTCAAACGCGAGACCATAAGAGTAGGTGCAATGTCTTATCATCGTTCCACAATTTCAGCACGAAAGTAGTTCATGTCTGCAGCCAATGGAGGACTTTCGTTCCGTTAGAGCGTACATCTCTATTGGCTGGGTTCCAAAACTCTACCTCGGTGTGAAGAGCGTCGTTCTTTATTTCATACTCTCGTGAAATCAGAAAATATTTTCTATCCCCTTTCACGATATTTCGGAGTGAATTGTTTAAATATTTTACCCTATCCGTGCCGGTGGAAGAACTTCTCGGAGAATTTTTTTCCGCGCGGGTGTCATTGCATCTAGATGTAAACTTCGTTAATCCTTAGATTTCTTTTTTTTTTTAACGCAATGCCAAGCAGCGTAAGAGAGGAAAAATTTCATGAACGGCAAAAAATTTGCTCCGATTAGTCAGAATTTTGGATGTAGATGTTAGTATGCGAAGAAAGAAATTAATTAGAGCGTCCGTTGATTAATATAATAAAAACGCTTACTTCGTAAACGTATAATAATAATAATGTCGAGCTACTTTCTTGACTTGGATTTACATATTTTTACATGGATCGTCCTATACGTCACTTTGGACCGCTTATGTGCAACATGTGTACATGCTGTGCGATATAATCCTCGCGTTGCATATGTGGCGCCATGTGCAACATATTATCACGTCATGTGTAACATTACCACACCGTTAACATTATCATACCGAATTAGCGTGCGACGTGGCGTGACTAGAAGCTAGCGTCCAAGTTAGAGCCAATCGCTCTCAAATTCGACACTACCCACGTCATAGGCTTGACAAACGAGAAGCAACTATTCCTAGCCTCATCTTTATCGAAAATGCTTCCCAGAAAGATTTTGTTAAGATGGCCGACCTTAGAAAACGAAAATAAGCTGGACGTCGTCCCGCTTCGAACCACCGGGAAATCAGGGGCTTATCTTTATCCTGACATTTGGTCGAACAACCCAAGCCACGTGACCTCCTAACCTATTTCGTCGTCCGTAATTAACAGAATCATATCCTTCGATCTCTAAATATACGGGAGACCTTTTAGGAGATTTAAAAGGAACTGCGCCCCGGTCGGTTGCCGAGAAAATTTCGATCCCGAAAATGTAGCCAAGGGGAAGCTAACCCCGGTTGTAAAACGTATGTTTATGCCGCATTATTGAAATCCATTCTACCCTTTATTAGATTTTCTCATCTTCGTCCAATTAAACTGTTCTTTCAAGTACCGGGAATTCTGACCGAATTGAGTTAAGAGGGTTAAAGAAAGAAATTTATGTCATTTCGCGATATGTTCGTGCCACCATGTTGGATTTTCACCGACGCGATTTAAGGAGCATGCGCGCGAAAATTCAAGATGGCGAGTGGAGCGATGTTGCTCCAGAGAGTGTTGCGGCAGGCGACATATTGGATTTCCGTACGCGCTGGTGATTGCTCGCTTCCATTAGGGCCAATGTTGATAAGATTTTCCATATTAAGCTAACGTAATCTAGCAAATCTGTCCCCCAGGCTCGAGGATATGAAATTACGAGCGACGCGTCGAGACGGCTATATCGCGGAGCGACCACCATTGACGACAATCAATCAATCCTTGTCTAACCGGACAGACATTTCCTGATTTCATACGAAATCGTCGTAAATTCAGCCAATTGCGTTAGGGGTCTGTTACGAAACGCGAGTTACATCCCAATTACAAAAACAATTAAAAATTTAATTGTCCGACTTATTTTTTTTTTTAGATATTCATTCGCTGTCGGATTAGCCGTATCGAGCGCGCGTCATTCTTTTAAACGCATCGATATTGTCATCAGGACCGTAAGAAAAAAATCGAATTTTCTCAGGAAAGCTCCCTATTTTTTTTTGTCCAAACGCAAATTCGGCATAACCGCTTATTACGCTGCAAATCTACTACGTGTTAACGGGAACACCTCACAGCAAAACAACCGCAAATATAACACTTAGGAAAAACATTGCGAGTGCACGTGGGAGGGAGTGTGGCATAATCTCGCAGTGTAGATCGAAAGGGGTAAGTTGGCAGTCGGTTGTCAAGAGAAGTTAAACAGCAAGGGGCTTTGACGGGGAGGGCGCTGGAGGGTGAGACAAACGGTAAACGGTTAATGGCGTCTGTACAGGGGGACAAAGGGGAGGAATATATCTACTTACAGGGTGCCGATGATTTACAGGGTGCGTACGTACACGTATACAATATACATGTCCTATGTACACACATGGGCACCCTCGGGATCCGAGGGTGGCTCGGTTAATATCGTCAAGCTTGAAAGCTCCTCGTCGGGGGCAACATTAACGGAGGGGGCAGCTCTTTACAGGTGCACGAAAGGGTTAACGTAGCTTTTTAAGGGGGCCCCACACTTAAGATTCATTTTTCTCTTGCCTGGGTGATCTGAAGTGGATGGCCCACTACAGGTTCCAGCTGTTCCTTCCTCTATGCATTATTCATAAAATGAAGTGCCGTTAGATTATAAGGTCCTCCCTGGTTCCTCGGGATGGATGAGGGGAGGTTAGGTTAATCCGGGCTTAACTCAGTGCCGATTGAGTTGACTTCTTTGGTTAATATCCCAACCCCGGACGAGGCAAGAGGAGGATTTTAATCCAACGTCGCCACCCTGGGTCGGGGATCGCGTTAACGTTATTTTGCGAACCTTGAGAAGTAACTTCTGACTTTAAGATTTTTATCCGGCCATTTTTGTAGGTTTTGCGAGTCTTCTCTTTGCTAACGCTAAAAGCTCTCGAGTCGTGCCTCGCTCGGAGCTTTTCCAAGATGAAAGTTTTCCTTCGGTCTCCCGGAACACGAAGGGAATCAAACTTCTTGCCCGGGAGCCAATCGAAATTCCCATTCTCTTCCGATGCTCGGATCCACGAACTTTATTACAAAGTCGCGTCAATATCCCACGAGATATTTAAATTTCCACGAAAAGGTAATATCTTCCGGTATTCTAGTTATCGAGGAAATTTAATATGCGAGGGTCTCCCTTTAGTTCAATGTGAAATGTAATGACATATGACCGTATGTCGGGTGGTCATATCGGCGAAGGCTCGAGAGTTTCGCTACTTTGGTTTAAAAGCGCAATTTCGTTGAACCTACCAACTAAATCTGTTCAATAACTCGATATATTGGATATTGGATTATTGAAGTAAATATTAATTGTTTCGGACTGTCGCGAGAGAAAAAAAAAATAAGAAAAGTGTATTCGGGACTGTACTCCGTGTAACAGAATCTGTAACAGAAAGTATTTCCCGGCGGGGCATAAAATGTCGAAAGTGTAAAAGTTCTAAACTACAATGTTACTTTGACGGCAGTTGTGGAAGCTCGAACTTCTTGTCAGGGGGCATAAAATAAGAAGAAAAGCGGAAACTTCGTAAGAGAGCTGCCCGAAGTTCCCGGAAGTGTAGCTGCCTGTTCACACATAGCCTCGAATCGTTCAAGCTGTCACTCCGATTTTAATATCCAACGTGTACGTTAAAATGTCCCGATTTTTATTTACCTTCGCAAAATTCGTGAGAATATTATTTGCGAGTCTTTCGCGCGGATGGATTTTAATTCACTACAAATTTCGCGTTTATTTCAATTTCATTTTAGCCAGATTCGAGGAGAATCGGGTAGAGTACCTGTGCAGAGAAGTTTTTATGGCTATGCCGTTTCGCTTCAATTATATTTTATTATTTTGAGAACGCTTCCAGCTGTTCTGTCGGAATATGCAAATAAGGGAAACTCTAACTTCTTATCGGATGCTTCAAAGTATAGGCACGTTCGGACGTACTCGCAGGTTATTGCAGTGGGTACTGATTCGCACGTGCTACGTATATAGCGCCATAAACTGGACCATTTT